GAGTGGAGGAGGCAAAGTGAGACCTTGATCCTGGTCCCAGTGTAGCATCGAAACAGCCTCTGGGAGCCCTTCCTGCCAGTCAGCTCATTGAGATCCTGATGCAGAACAGCATCCTGATCTGGCCCCAAGGGCGGCTCTCCAGATGAATCCGAGTCCATGAAGGGGCCTGGAGTTTCAGTCAATGTCTGAGGTGCACCCAACATCTGGGAAAAAGCAGAGGACCCCAGGTCGTCAGAGCCTGCTGGGGGTGTAAGCACATGGAATGATGCGGGTGGGAGATGGGAGGCGTGCAAAACCAAGGCTCGATGGACCCCAGGTGTCGGAGGTTACCTGGTCCAGGGACCTGGGCCCACTCTAGAGGCTGAGCGGCCTGGACCAGCAGACACAACGGTTGTCGCATGAGGAGGAGCCGCAGGGCCCAGAGGCATATGCGACACATGACAGGCAGAGACTTGGGGCACAGCCACCTAGGCCAGTGGTGTGCCATTGTGGTGCCCTGAGCAGCCCAGCAATGCTTGTGCCCTTGGCAACCATTAGTCCCGCCCTGCCCTTTACTTGTAACACATCTATTTACACAACCCTTATTAGGTGCTGGCCCAGATCAGCTCTGCGCCCCCAGGGCGAGCCTCTTCCCACAGGCCCAAGCTTCCCTGCCCCTCGCCTCTTATGGCATGGCAGGATTTTGGCTGCAGACTGAGGTGGCCCCAGGACTCCAGCTTCCCGTTGGGCTGGGGGTGGTGGTGATGGTGGCAGAGCGTCCCAAGGAAGCCACAGGGTCTCAACTCGGGACAGTCAGAAGGCCTACTCCAGCTCTGGCAGCCTGAGCTCTTCCTCCTCCAAGCTGAAATCCCAGAGGTGTTCTTCCTCCTGGCCCTGCTGCTCTCAAGAAAAGCAACTGATCTGCAAAATAGAGCACCAGTTAGGGTGGCATGAGAACACACGTTACTGTTATTTATTCCAATACATTGCAATTTTCACTAAACTTTCAGCATCGTTGGCTCCATGATTGATCATTAATTCACCACTGTTAGGTAGGGGCAGCCAGGGAATCAGTGAAGGCACCAACATTTCCCTAGGAGGGGCTTTGAGGCTGGGCAATTAGGTCTGCCACAGGCTTTGATCCAAGTGGCCAGCCCTTTACACCAGCCTGGGAGGGGACATAACTGTTGTTCCACCCTGCCTCAACACAACCATGACCCTAGAAGTGACAGCCCACTTTTCAGAGGTGGACCTTGTGTGCAGGCATGAAGAAGATGCTTAGAATGCTGAAGGAAGCATGGTAGATACATTTCTTGAAACGCTAGAACTGGAAGCCAGCTGCAGCCCTCTCAGCCCTTCTCTAGTTTATAAGGACTTGTTTATTGCTTGCCACATCCACTAGCATGTGGACTCCAAGAAGATGCTTTGTCTTCTGTTCCCAGGGTCTGGAAAAGGCACCTGCATAGTCATGGGTTTAAAACAGAAGGGACTTGAAGACTTGCCTTACCAAGGGGTGGAGCCAGGACAACAATCAGATTTCTGATATCAGTTCTGGCTGACTTCCTCTCACATTGCACAGAAAGCTAGACTTGTTGTTTTGTTTTGTTTTAGTTGGAGTCTCACTCTGACCCAGGCTGGAATGCAATGGCACAGTCTCGGCCATTGCAGCCTCGACCTGCTGGGCTCAGGTGATCCTTTCACTTCAGCCTTCCAAGTGGTTGGAACTACAAGCATGTGCCACCTTGCTTGGTTTTTATTTACTTATTTGTTCCAGAGATGGGGTCTCGCCACGTTGCCCAGGCTGCTCTAGATCCCCTGAGCTAGACTTAAGGTTTAATGTTTTCCTGGTGGGTTTTATTTAAACTGGATTAAAATATTTATTTTATATGGGAAATTCTTTTTCAGAACCCATTTTCTCTTTCCCTTCTTTAAGACAAAACACTTGGCAACTTTGAGGTGTGTTAAATCATTAAGAAAAATCTAGCCCCAAAATAAGTTCCCACTGAAACAAAACACATTTTCGCTCCTTTAAAAAACCAAAAAACCCCTATGTTGTCAATAATGACATTTCTTTTAGAAATTAATTGAGCAACTTAATTCCTATTTAAGGGCTTTCATGTGCAGTTTTGTATTGACTACCACGTGAGGAGGAGCTTGAGAAACGCATCCCCAGGCGATTTTTTCACTGTATGAACACGATGGAGTGGGCTGCGCACACCTAGACGGTGCTGCCTATCACACGCCACATGGCACAGCCTGTTGCTCCCAGGATACAAGCCTGTCCAGCATGTTACTGTCCTGAATGGTGTAGACAATTGGGACATGATTGGAAGTATCTGTGTTTCAAAACATATAAAGGTACAGTAAAAGCAAGGTATAAAGATTTTTAAATGGTACACCTGGATAAGGCAGCTCCATTATACTCATATGGGACCACCATCACACATGTGGTTTGTCATCAACCAAAATGTTATGTGGCTCGTGACTGTAGTTGATTTATAGAAAGGATTTTCAGCAAAATATTCCTTCCAAGGTATGCAGATGTTGAGATTTAGATAATGAGCCACACTGGAGGGCTTCATGGCTTCTGAGAGCTACAGTACGACCTATGCTGCTGAGGGCATAGTTACTTCTCCCCACACCCTTGGGATCGTGTTCGAGAGCAGCTCTGAGAGATCCTGTATTCAAGGTGCCCTGCATCCCTGACCCCTGGTGGATGAGACACCTCACCCAGATGTCCACAAATATAGTAATGCTCTCATAGTCCTCAGCTCTGCTCTCCAAATTTCAAATGAGGGGTCAGAGAGAGGGCCAGGATTTCAGGAGGACCCCAGCAATTCCCTGCACTCAAAAGCAGTATCAGTGTCACATTTTCCATAGAAGAACACATGTCGAAGGCCCCAGGTCCTGCTGGCCATTTTGAATTATGGCTACACTGACCATATTGCCCTGGAGCCTTTATCTCCACATACTTGAACTGAATCGTGTAGTTCTTCCTCACTCACGACATCTGCAATCTCTTCCCTGGGTCTGAACTCCACAGCAATTCTATCACTCTCTGAAATAAAGTTAACAAGGATCATCGACTCAGAATCCTTCTTGTTCAGAACTTCTTGCATATAGTGGTAGCAGCCCATCATGAGACATTCTTTTGATTTCTAAAAGCAGAAAATCAAAGTGTTTTCCTAGAAATTTCTTCATCTCACATTTCAG